CACACCCACACACACCCACACACACACACACACACCCACACACACCCACACACACACACACACACCCACACACCACCCACACATACACCCAAATACCACACACAACAACATACACACACACACATACACACACACACCATACACCCCACACACACAACACACACTGATACACAGCCACGCAGCACACATGACACACACACACATCACATACACACCCCCACACAAATCCCCCCCCTACAAAGTGCACCCCATCCAACCACCACACAATCTCAACCGAGCCCACCCCGTATAACCACATGTACCTCTCAAGGGTTCAAAAAGACGACGGGTCCACCCTTTGCGCTAGAACAGCTTCAACTCTTCTGTGTACGTCTGTGTCTCACTATCCACGAAGGTTGAGAGTGTTGTTTATGGGAAAATTTTGACCTTCATCCAGAAGCGGCATTTGTGGGATCGACGCACACTGATGTTGGCCCGAGAAGGCGCCTGGCTTCTCAGTCTCCGCTCTAATTCATCCCAAAAGGTGTTCTATCATCCCGGGTTGAGGTCAGGACTCTGTGACAGGACCAGTCACGTTCATCCACACCAGACTCTGTCATCCATGTCTTGTATGGACGCTTGCTCTTGTGTCACTGGTGTCAACAGTCATGTTGGAAGTAGAAGGGGGCCAGCTCGCAAAACTGTTCCCCAACAAAGTTGGGAGGCATGGTGAATTGTCCCAAAATTTGTCTTGGTATGCTGAAAGCTTCAGAGTTCCTTTCACTGGAATCTAACAGGGGCCAAGCCGGCAGCTCCTTGAAAAAAAACAACCAAAACAACCTCACACCATTAATCCCCCCTCCACCAAACTTAGCACTTGGCACAATGCAGTCAGTCAAGTAGCCGTTCTCTCCTGGCAACCCACACCGCGCAAACCCAGAACTCGTCCGATCAATGCCAGATGGAGAAGCGCGATTCGTTCAGCTCGGCAGAGAACGGCGTCTACCACTTAGCTCTAGAGTCCAATGGCGGCGTGGCTTTACACCACCGCATCCACGCTTTGCATTGGCACTTGGTAGATGTATGGCTTGGATGGAGGGCAAGGCTGCTCGACCATGGAAAACCCATCCCATGAAGCTCTCTGCGGCACTGTTCTCGAGCTTATCGGAAGGCCACCACTGAAGTTTGGAGGTCTGTAGTGAATTGACTGACCCTCTGCAGAAAGTTGGCGACCTCTTCGCACTATGGCGCTGTCAGCATCCGCTGCACACCCCCCGCCGCCCGCTCACGTCAGTTTTATTTTACAAACGTGGCCTACCGCAACTTTCCGTTGCTGAGTTTGGGTCGTGCGTTCGCCCAAACAACTTCCCCATTTTCTTATATACAGCTGACAGTTGACTGTGGAATATTTTAGGAGCGAGGGAGGCAAATTTCAACACTGGATTTTGTTGCACAGGTGGCATCCTACTCACAGTTCGCGATCGCTGGAATTCACGTGAGGCCTCCCTGAGAGCGGACCCATTCTTTGCACACAAATGTATTGTAAAAACAGCTGCATGCCTAAGGTGCTTGAATTTATACACCTGTGGCCATGGAAAGTGATTGGAAGCCACCTGATTCCAATCAAATTTGGATGGGTAGGCAAATACATTTGGGCAATATAAGTGTATATATATAATATGTAATATATAGTATAATATATATATATATGTATACTATATATACTAATATATATATGTATTTATAATATATAATATGTATATATATATATAATATATATATACTATATATATTCTATATATGTATATATATATGTAAATATATAATGTATATATTATATGTATATATAGTACAATATATATACCTGTATAATGTATAAATACTACCCATATATATATAATGCTAATTGTATATATATTATGTATAATTATATATATATATATGTATATAAAGGATGTATATTATGACAGAGCACCACACTCACACTATTAACACACCCCACACACACACCACCACATCACAACACACCACCACTACCCACACTAACACACCCAAACACACAAACCCACACTCACCCGACACACACACACACACTCACCAACACACCACTCTACAACACCAAACACACCCACTACCTACACCCCACCACACTTCACACCCACTACCCTAAGCCAAACACACACACCCACACTCACAGCCTAAAAACACTACACCAACACTCACACCCACACACACAACACTCCACACACCACAACCACCACCACACACACACCCAACACACACACCCTCACACACACACCCACTCTCTGAACACCCAAACCAATCACTCACCAACACACACATCAACCACACACCACGACCCACACACACACCCAAACAACACACACCCACACCACACACCCACCACCCACCCTCACACACCACTCACACCCCACCCTCACACACACACACCACACCCACACACACACACACACACCCACCCACACACTCTCTAATACCACTACCCCACACATCCACAAACCACCCCACACACACCCACACACACACACCATACACCCACCCACTCACACCCACCACACAACTCACACAACACCCTTCACACAACCCCCACACACACACCACCCCACACACACACCCACACCACACGACACACACACCCACACCCACACACACACCACACCCACCACCCACACACACACCACTACTCCCACACCCACACACACACACACACACACACTCCAACTTTCATCCGCCTGTCACGACCTAAAATTCAGTCTCACCCTAGCTAAGCAATACCGATATGAATTATTTGTGAACAGCATTGAATAATTATCCTAAAAGAAAAAAAACGGCGTGAGTCATTCTTTCTGTGGCATATAATTTATGATTTTTCCCATTATTAAAACAAAAAATATGAAAACCACCCAAATATTTTATTTACCTCATTTTTAATTTATAAAACTGTGGACAAAATCTTTAAACCAAAAGTTCTCCGACAAAATGCAAAAAAAAAGTGGTCAATAATCATATCAAAGTATCATCTCTTTATTTTTTTTTTATGGCCTGCATACTGTTAGCATGAAAAATAGTCACTTCTTAGTAACCTTTGCTTCCATCAAGTTAGTTACTGCTTCCTTTTTTGTTTTCTTTCTTCATTCTGGTTGCTGAGTCCAATAATACTCATACATGTTGCCCTTTTATGAAACTTCAAGAGGTGTTTCATTAAGTTTGGTTGGTGTTAATAGTTTGATGAATTTAACACCGCCGCCCTCGGAACATTTCTTCTCTACAAAATATTGCACACCATTGGGCTAAGGCTGAAGCGTGAAAAACCACACCGCAAATCCTTTCGCTTTTTCGCCCTCGCACTCATCGTGTTATGTTTTGTTTGCACTGCCCATGTGACTGTGCAGGGCCATAGCATAAGAGTTTCAGGAATGAATAGATCGGCTCCTAAATCGAGTCAATTGTCACAGATACGATCTAGTTTTTTTCTTTATATCTGGACCGATAAAAATATCAGATCGGTGCATCCCTAATAAGAACCTTAAGCTCTCAATTAAAAAAAATAAATAAATAAACTAAAAAGTTTTTTTTTAAAGAAATCTCTTCCCCAATGCAAACCCAGACCCACATTAACCAGTCATGAACGTTTGTCAAAAAGTTTTATTGAACTAAAGTATCTCATTTCTCATCACGTTGTTGGCGATACAGTACCATAGGTTGGATCTTAGTGATTCATATATGCACCTCTTGTTATCTGAATATATACATACAGTGGAAATAGGAAATAAATAGCAGTGCTCATTAACATTCAGATATATATCAAATAAAAGCTGAGGACCCCGTGATCAACACTTCCACTGGTAAACAAATGCACAGAAACAGGTGTAAGATTTCTAGTCTTAAGTTAGATGACGATATTTTGGTTTCTCAACAATGAATGATGACCAATTCCAAACTGACTCCCAGGTTTGATCAAACATTAGGTAATGTCTGAAAAACAAGTTTCAGGCTGTACTTAGCGCTCCCTCCCATCATTCTGGCCCTGTTAAACATGTGTAGAAAGCCTATGAGAATATTTCTCTTTTACCTCAAAACTGATTTCTAGCTGAAATTTGAGAAGAATCTGAATTTAAATCTGATTATTAAATACATTTTACAACTTTTTAAAGATTTTTTCCCCTCTTTATTGATCTGAGAAGCATTCCTGTATAAGAGACAGATCAATGACTATATATACTGTTTCCGTTAGAAAAAGCACAGCACGATCTCTAAAAACAACAGCCCCAAGTCGCAACACAAAACCACTAACCCTAAACGTAAAAAACCCCACCCAACCCAAACCTCTCATGCATCTTCACACATTCCGAATCATAATCCTATCTCCCCTCCACGTAAAAAAACAAACACAATAACCCCCCCTATACCCCCCAAAACCCCACCTCCCACCCCCACCAGACCAAACCGAACCTTACTCCTAAACGTCCCCCAACCCCCCTTACCATCCCATGCCCCCCCCGCGCCCCACCACCACCCCCTGTGCGCCTCCCCCCGGTCTGAGCCAGGACGACCCCCCCACCCACCCCACGCACCATCCATAAACCCCCTTCACAAGCTAGGGTGGTCACTACAACCGTTCACCCCACGCAAACCACAGAAAACACCAGCTCAAACTCCCAGCAATAAAAAAAAAACACAAAACAATAACCAACAAAAAAAAACTCTCCCCACCAAAAAAAACTGACCGACTATGTCTATCTAGCCCCCCCCCCTGATGGTACGCAGATGTCATTACAGCTCCTCACATAATACACAATCCCAATTTCCAGGCATGGCTTTAAAAACACGTTACTACACCTAAACCATTGAGCTGTCCTACTGCTAACAGGCAGTAAACTATCCAGAGAAGGAATAAACGTTTTTGGAGCTGCCAACATATGAAATTAGTTGGATCTGTAAAGTTAAATGTTTCATAAACAAATCCGTAAATAGATTTTTTTTTTTTTTAATAAATCAGGATCTTCTTTATTACCCATTAGTCCTCCATAAATATTTGCTCCAAACTGTTTTCTTAAATTACAAAGATGGCATCAGAAGAGGTACTTTTGTTTATCCTGAACTGTATCACATCACAGACAGAGTAACTCAGGAAGCTTTACCAAAACAAAACAAAAAAGATTTTATTATTCTTGGTCTTCCTCATGTAGCTACAGACACATACTAAAGAACAAAACAGTAATGTTTTCAACTTGACAATATAAAGCATGAGCACTGAGCTGTGGATTAATGTGAAAGACCTGGAGCCAGCAGTAGTGGGTACAGGGTGGCACGTTTGGTTACATGGATCAACATTCAAACTCTACAGGAACTCTGAGGTCTCCTCTATTGCACCGTCTGGTAGAAATACTACAGTGAGTGTTGTCTGTAATTAAAGTATCACTAGTAATAAATCATTTACTAGATACAGAAAAAAATGAGTGGAGAATGATGAAAAATCAGAAGGAAAAAAAAGGCCAAAGAGTGGTTATGGTCACTTTGTGAAAAAAGGAACTCTACAGAACTTTAAGGAAGATGATTTTAAATAACGTTTAAACTCAACCTTTAAGAAAAGAAAAAAACAAAACATGGCCTGTCATGAGGCATGACAGTTAGGTCCCGCTGAGGTCCGAGTTCCTCTTTGAACGGCTAAACGTAAATTAAGAGCAAAGGTGTGAGTGACAATGTGCGTGCTAGTATGTAGACATTATGCATGACATCAGAGGGAGAGCTCAACCTCCGGCGAGGCCTAAGGCGATCAGTTAGCAGCTAATCTGCTCACTGCATGTTAGCACATCCAAGATAGCAGAGGCTCTGTACGCACTGTGTTCTCCATGTGGCTCGGTGATGGCTCTCTGAGGGTCGTCGGTAAAAACAGCCATGAGCTACAACGCAAAAAAGCTTGTCTTGTTTTTGCTCGGAAAATCCAAGAGATCTGAGGATCCAGATGTGGTACGGACGCCACAGCGGGAAGGGCCCACAGCTAAGGCTTGGGTTAAGACAAGGATGGATCGTATGTGTGAGTGTGTCAGAGAGAGAGTGTGTGGGGGGGGATCCAGTGTAGACGTACAGATCACAGCAGGGCCTTCACCAAGTACAGCTTATCTCCATGATCACTGGTGAAGATAGGGGCCTTCTTGTAATGCTCCACCAGTTCATCCATGGAGTTGAACCGCCGCTGGCCGATACAGTACACCCCGTCTGACAGCTGCACTTTAAAGTGCTTGTTTTTCCCCGCCGCCTTCAGAGACACGGAGAAATCGCTGGGCTAGAAACCATACAGGGAGACAAAGAGGAAAAGACTTTTAAACAAAGGACAGAGTTCGATTGGCCAGCAGATGGCAGCATTGGCTTATCTGCACACACTTCAACTGGGAGCTGGATTTAACTGAGGGTCTTAAAGCAACAAATTATGATAAATCCCTTATTGTTAAAGCCATTTAATATCGTAAAAATCTGCTCACAGATGTACTGACTCTTTAGACTTAAAGATGTTTAATGATTATTAGAGGAATCAACTGGTGTGCAAACTTCCAAAGTAAATTTCACAAAGGAAGAAAAAATAGTGGAAGCCTAATAACTAACCAAATCAAGGAATGTAAAAATGTAATAATAAACTATTAGAGAATAAGTGTTATTAAGTATATTCCACAGAAAAATATTGAATCCTGCACCAATATTTACATTTTTACTATTAATTAGTTGTAAATCTGACAGAGCTACGGAAGAGGATTAGGGCCACTGAAAAAAATCAAAAAAGTTTGCTGATTTTAGGATTTTATTTCAGTTTAATAGGGGAAAAAAGTCAGAATTCTGAGAAAAGAGTCATAATTCTGAGATTAAAGTCATAATTCTAAGAAAAAAAGTAATAATTCTGAGAAAAAAAGTCAGACTTCTGAGAAAAGAGTCAGAATTCTGAGATTAAAGTCATAATTCTCAGGAAAAAAAAGTCAGAATTCCAAGATTAAAGTCAGCATTCCGAGATTAAAGTCAGCATTCCGAAATTAAAGTCAGCATTCCGAAATTAAAGTCAGCATTCCGAAATTAAAGTCAGCATTCCGAGATTAAAGTCAGCATTCTGAGAATAAAGTCAGAATTCTGAGAATAAAGTCAGAATTCTGACCTTTCTTCCCATATAAAACTGAAATAAAATGTAAAAATCTGTTAACTTTTCAAAAATGTTTTCAGTGGCCCTAATCCTCTTCTGTACAGAGCACATTTAAAAATAAAACAAAAATACTTAAATAGTGAAACTAGTAATTTAGATCTAAAATCTTCACCAGGATGCATCTACCTTACTTTGAGCAGTCATTCAACCAATATGGGTTGAACAAACTATGGGTAGTTCTGTTAAACTAAACTTGATTGTACCTGCATGTAAACAGTTATCTTTACGATGTGTTTATAAAACACTGTTGGCATCAGACGTAGGTTAAATTCTTACACCTCAGTTGGCTCTTCATGTCATTCTTTGGTGTGATCATTCTCTGAGTGATAAAAAGTAACGAGACATTGTGTCAGCTTGTCCTGACATCACCTAAATGACTCACCGATGACTCGCTGTCTCGTATGAGGAAGTCACCCTCCTCTCCTCGTTCGTTGAGTATGCACTCGGCCTGGTGTCTAGTGATGTTGCCGTAGTACCAGTCCCTCCCGGCGAACCTCCCCGAGCGCGCTGGAGCTGCAAAGCGGTTCTGTGGGGAGCCTGACATGGAGGGTGGGCCGGGCTGCTCGTCACGCACCATCACATAGTTTTTAGGCACCAGGCCCACCATGCCAAGAGAGTTCTTACACCTCCACCACTCTGGGTCGTTCTCCGGCTTCTCTATCACCTCCATGATTTCTCCCTTTTCAAAGTTAAGCTCCTCCTCTGTCACTGAGCTAAAGGGGTAGAGCGTTTGAACCAGGTGGAGGACGACGCCCCTGCCGCCTGCTTGGCCGTTGGCCAGCAGACCTCCCCGAGGAACTCCAAGGTAACCCCGCGAGGAATCTGCCTCTCTGTCGTCGCCCCCCGTGAGCTCTTCCTGGACGTAGTTCGAGGGAAACCAGCCGACGCGGCCGGCTTGACTGCCACGCCACCAACCGTCGCTACACTTCTCCATGACGATCACCCTGGAGCCTTTGACCAAGGTCAGCTCGTCTTCCCTCTCTGCTGTGTATGCAAACTTGACCACAGCAGGGGTGTTGAGGTCGTAGATCCTCTCCGCTGCTCCAACCCCACCTCCTCCCCCGCTGCCATTGGAGGGGTACTCTGCGTCTGAGCTCGGTGTAGGGGACGGATCACGGGCACTCGTCTTCCTCTTACCCTTCCCCAAACCTGTGCACAACCATAGAAACAAAAAGAGATGACGCGGTAGCAAGAAATCCCTTCTTTACACCTCCACCTAACAAATAAATCTGTAAATATTGGACACAATCAAAACTTTTCTTGTATTAAAAAAATGCTCAACACTTCTTCACAGAAATGATTTCAGTTTGTGTGATAACATGATATGATCTAGTTTCTGGGTTTGGAGGCATTTTTTTCCTATAAAAATGTGAAATTGTTGCATCTTTGTTATCACAGTACATAAAAACATACTGACATATGAGCAGACTCCAACACAGCCTCCCCCCGGCCCTTTTCTTGATATACAGAGATTTCAACCATGTCTCCCCGTCTTCCACCTTCTCTCCCTTCACCAGAGAATCTGCTTGAACAAAGAACCAGCTTCATCAGCTTACCTGGCAGCCAACTCCAGAAGAACTAAGAAAACTGTGACACAGACTCGGAGTAATTAAAAAAAAGGCTTAAATTGGAGGTCATCAGACTTATCAATCAGATTTTCAGTCCAGTTGAGTAACGATAGTGGACTCAGGACTGGAAGAAGGAGCTGCTGGTAGATCTCTGTAGGTGAAAACCCACTATACTAAAACGTGATGACATCATGGGGACCACCCAGACCCAGTACAGGTGGTCGGAGATACAGTTCTTTGGAAAAAAATTACATCAAGGGGAATAATTTGAAACAATGTCTCCAACTCTATGTATGAAGCTGATGCAGAGCTGGACAGACTGCTGTACTCCAGGTAGACTGAGGAACATTAACCCAGATCTTTCTTTCCTTCAAGCAGCTCTTAGAATTTATACTCTGCCTGCAACTAAAGATTATTTAACAAACTGATTAATCCGTTGATTATTTTTTAACGATTGATCGATTAATAATCGGATAGCGAAAGGTTCCTTATAGAAGATTTTTTATGAATGTATTCAGGTGAAACTAAAATTTTTCAACTAGACAAGGTAAGGATGGAGCATATTGACAGATGAAAAGGTTTTCTTCATCTTAAATGCAATATATTTATATATTTTTTCATAATTACTACTCTAAGTGGGTTTCTCTTTCAGCTAAAGGCATGTTTTAGTCTTTATACTCCACTTAATGATTAATTGATTATTAAATTAGTTGATGATTATTTCAATAATCGATTAATTACAATTAATCTGATTAATTGTTTCAGCCATACTTTATACTTTATACTTTATACTCAGAATGCTGTTTATGTCTCAGCTGTAAATTGTTTTCAATTCTTTTTGTAAATTATTTGTTGCTGTTTTATGTCCAGGTTGTTAAACGAGCTTTTTACGTTTCGACATTTTTTAATTGATTCTACTAAGTTCAACATTTATTTTGTCTTCTGTTGTAAATTTTTGCCTTGCTGCTGAAAACCCCAGAATATTCAATCTTTGTGGGGCAAAAAAATTATTCTATCAAATATGACACTCGATTATCCAGTTGCTGGACAGATGTTCATCTCCAAACATTTGTCGATTTATGACCAGCCCAGCAAAGAGCAGCTCAAACACAAGCTAACCTATATGGTGTTTAAACCAAAGCTCCAGAAGTTTTCAGGAAGTTATTCTAACACACTATTTATTAGCAAGTACTAGGGCAAGGAGGGCCCTCCGACACTAGGATAGCAAACTATTCCTTCCACCAAGGAGATTACGTTTTTAAGAGAGTTTGTGTGCGCTTGTCCTTCTGTCTAAAGGATAACTTAAAAAGTTATAGTCAGTTATTAAAGAAATTTTTATCAGAGGCGTTTCCCTCATGCCAATGAACAATCCATTACATTTTGGTGATGATCTAGATCATATTCTGGACTCAGGTTTTTTTTTTTTTTTTTAGATTCTATAACATTGTGAGATAGGGATTTGTGGCGGAACAAGCAGTTCCCAACTAAACCAGAGGGTGGCAGCAGTGAGTATTGAAAGCCTCAGACTCAAAGAGTCTGAATGTATTTTACTGAAGACAAAATTATGAAAGAAGTGGGAATGTTGTTGGTTTGTTAGCAGGATCAATTGAAAACATATGAACACATTTTAAGGAAGTGTTTTATCGGGATAGCCTCATGCCAAGGAACAATTCATTTCTCCCTTGGTGGAGGTAAGTATTGATTTAAATGCTGTTTTGTTTATCTGAAGTAATATTCAATTCAGTGCAGTTTATTTAATATATCACTCATTCACAACACATGTCATTTCAAGGCACTTTACAGTTAACCAGATCATAAACTAGAACTTTATCTTTAAGGTCAATCCTGAAATATTTTAATTTCTTCATGGATAAAAAATAAAATTCCTGACATTATCATTATTATTATTAAATCCCTCACAAGCGAAATGAGACAGACTTTGTTACTGTTTAAATTTTGGTTGGATTTGCGATTAAAGGTGAGTCAAGAATCTGTTGAGTTTCGCAGTAAAACGTCCAGCACAGAAAAACACACACCTTCCTACAGGATGAAACCAAGGTCTTTCATTTACTTAGCATTCAGTTGACATCACCTACACCTCTATATAAACCCAAAGGTTGAAAATAGAAGGAACACAGAGGGAATGAAAAGTGGAGCAGGCACCATGGGCTTAATGATGACAGGCGTATCCAGGATCAAAGTCAGGCCCGTCCTACCTGTTCCTTCAAAGACGAGGCATTTAATGTGCTTCAACACTTCAGTGGCGCCCAAGCATTTTCTTTACTTTTTAAAAAAATCCACTAAACATAAATGAGGCGGTCTCCTCTTGTTCCTCGCATGAATGTTTAAGCAGTAATTGCACCGAGCGGCTGACAGGGTTTAAACCGTTTACTTGATGGCTGAAGCTATTGTGAGCGTGAGCTCACGTGTGCGGCTAATGATGGAAGAGAGAGAAATCTTGACAGCTCCTCTCCCAGACTGGGCCACAGAAATGTCACTGCTGAACAGAGCAGTTACTTTGTTTGAAAATTGCAGGGTTCACAGAGAGTAGCATGAAACTTGTTGGCAGAGAGGCGGAGTGTAGTGGAGAAAGATGAGGAGAGGGGGGTTCTCTTGGCAGCTGTTTCTCGCACACGCTGGAGACCAAACACATCAGAGGGCACAGCTGACAAAAATGCAAAGGAGGAGGATGAGGCAGGAATAATAAACAGAGGGTGTTTGTGTTAATCTGTTTATCCCACACATCTGATAGCTGAGCGAATGTATGAATGACGACTCAAGCTGGCATCTGGGGTAAGTTTAGGAGGTCGAGAGAAGAAAACCTTAATAAACAGCCAATGTAATTGGGTTAAGCTATGCTTTATAGTGCAGAAAAACACCTGTATCTCCACACACCTCCCCTCCTGCACTCATTTACACTTCAAGGCACTGGCCACGCCGGTTAGAGCGGCAGCGTGACACCTTCTTCTTTCACTCTGAACCTTCATCTACCGCTTCATCTTGTGAAAGGAGACGTGATGTTTGAGCCCAGAGGGCTTCGGCTCTGATGGTAGGGAGCTGATGAAAGACTCAAAGTTGCAGCACATTACTTCACTCCTCTACTTCCACTAAAAGGCAGCAGGGAAGTTACTGTATTAAGTAAAAGTCCTTGCAAAAACCGTACCACCCACAAGACACACGTGTCCGCAATCAAAAAGCACAACATGACCCTGTAGTGAAGAGCTGGTTCTGAAACCGCAGGTGCTGCGTTTTAAGAGCAAAGCAGTGAATCACAGGTGAGCTTTTAAATCTCCCCCACCAGCAGTTTGGCTCTGCTTTTAATCAGAGTGCCATGAGGTCTTAATGCCACATTGTGTATGGGGCTGAAAAAATTAATTGGATTAATAGATTACTGAAATAATCAGCAACTAATTTAGTAGTTAATTAATTGGAGTATAGAGACAGACTAAAGGCATGTTTTAAAGCAGCAATTATACCAAAGTTAAGAAAAAAAAAAAAAAGAAAAAAAAAAAAAATATATATATACATAAATATATATATATATATATATATATATATATATATATATATATATATATATATATATATATATATATATATATATATATATATATATATATATTTTGCATTTTAGATTAAAAAATGTTTTATCTGTCAATATGCTCTATTCAGAACTCCTCAAGTGGAAAAGTTTTAGTTACACCTGGTTTGATTTTGCAAAAAGTCTTCTTTAAAGAACCTTTTTTTGTCAAATTATTAATCGATTAATTGAAAAACATAATCGACAGATGAATGGATGTGCAAAATAATCGTTAGTTGCAGCCCTAAATGTGTATAAAGTCAGTTAGGCTGGCAAAGAAGAACGTACGACTCCATGAAGCTCCATCTTTCACTCTACCTCAATAGGAAAGGGATGCTTCTAACCAGGATAAAAATCCGACATTTAAGCAGCTGCTGAAATATAGCTGCTTAAATTGGTCAGTGATGCTGGTAAAAAGACCAAAAGAGCAGCAGGACTTTCAAATAAGAACTGGCTTGTGTTTTGGATATGAACATCTTGTAAGGCCAATGAATGCCTGGACTAAGGAGAAGGCTAGACAGAAATGTTTTATTTCAAAGAATGTGTTACACTCCGATGAGACCAAACTATAACTGTAAATACACAATGGCTACAGTAAAGCATGGTGATGGCACCGTTATGTTGAGGGGGTCACTTTTTCTGATAAACGTGAGGTTTTTGTCAAAGTAAACGTCTGTCTACCAGAAAGAAGTTTTTTTGTCTTTTTTAATGACTTAGACAAACTTTATTGTGCGTATGAGTGTATACAATTATTTTTTTTTGTGCAGCAGCATAGCAGTGAAAAATAACAAGAACAATAATGTGCAACAGTGATCAAAATGTAAACGGTGTGGGACATACATGGTGCAAAAAGGCATTGATGTGGAAGGTTCAGAGCAGTTAAAAAATAAATAAATAGATAAGGTGCAAAATGCAGTAAAAACATTGAGTTGAGTTCTATTCTGAATATTCACCATGTAGTGCAAGTATGGTGTTATCAGTGTGATGCAGAGTCTCGATTTGTGACTTGATTTAGAGTTTTCAACAGGTCAGCTGTCTGATGGTTGCGGGAAAAAAGCTGTTACAGAATCTGCTGGTCCTGCAGCAGAGGGAAGAGCCCATGGTGGGGGTGTGAGGGGTCGCTGATGATGTTATGGGCTCGGGACACGCAGCGTTGGGATGAATTTACAATTCAGTTCAAGCAAACATCCAGATTTGACTTAATGAGAGGGACGTTAAAATTTCAGAGTGGCGAAACCGCAGTGGGAATAACATCTGACAGGAGAAATCTTTGGGTTCACCTGAGGAGACGTCGTGGACAGAATATATTCTCTGGAGAATATTTACCAGGAAGATGCTCCAGATGTCAGCAAGTCAAAATGTGTAATAAGGATAAAAATGCCCAAATATGATTGAGTCCTGAAATTTAATCAAAACCTGGATGGTTAAAGTACAACTGTAAGGCTTTTACTCTGCAACTGGGTTAGAGCAACTTCTTATCATTTTTACCTGAAATCAGGACATAGTGCCTCATATCGCCTGAAACAAATTGGGCCAACCTTGCAGTGTTCTTTAAAAACTCAAATGGACAGAAATGTAATGATCCCATTAGTTTTACAGGTGAGTCCTGACCCAGTTTCACCAATATTAAGGGCTATGCTTATTTTCTTTACCCACTGCCATTTTTTTTTCTTTCCCAAGGAGAAGAAAGTGGGGCATGGAGCAGCAGGCAGCCATTTATAGTTAAGACTCTGCTCAGATGGATGCTGACGATACGACTGCAGAATGCAGCAGAGATGGAAAGGAAAAGCTAGAGATAACAGTAATCAGAAATGCTCAAATAATGATGGAGTGAACTCACTGAGGGGGATTAAAACAAGGAGGAAAAAAAACCTCCACCAGATGACGAAATCAAGCTATCAGCCAATCAAATTATCTCTTGAAGTGAGTTACTTCCATTAGCACCTGACCCTCACCTATTGCTCATCACCTCATCATGAAAGTGTTCTCTCCTATTGGATTTTCACAGGCTTTTAACAGGAAAGAGCGCCTGGCAGGAAGGATGCTGCCCAGGGCTGGAATGGGACGACGAGGCCATAAATGTTCCAGTCGATATGTAACTCAGTCAGAGAACAGGGAGGTAATCCATCATTCCCATACAGCCATTAGGTGTCTGGTTGGTCCTGCAGTGTAACTACTGATAAGGTAAAAGCAGAAGTCCACAGTGACAGAGAAAGGAGCTGATGGAGCCTTAGTGACTGAGCCCCCCCGCCATTAGAAACCACTCAAACTGTGTGATCAGTGTTTTGGTGGAATTTCCACCAGGCATTTCCATTTCCTGCCTGATTCCTCTCCTTTCCGTTCCCAGCCACTCAGGTGGGAGTAAATCTAACCACGAAAAGCTCAGAGGCAGCTCTGCTAACCATTCATAGAGTCACAGAGCAGTTGAACCATTTTACATTTCCCTACCTTGATTTGAGCATCAGAAAGAACAGAAGCTACTTGATCAACCAAGGATGCTTGTTGGAGATCACATCAGTGACAGTGGGTGTTAAAGATTACCAATGTCACTACATGGTAACGTTTCCATATTATGAAATAGTGGAAATAAATCGGCTCACAATTTACCAAAATAAATAATTTTACTCTCTTATCAAAGTATGAACCTAAAAGCTCATCATGGTTTCCCTGCAGATATTTCTGTGGTTTGATTAATGAACTTCTAAATGGATGAAATGATAAAGGGATAGAAAAATCAATAAAGGAATGTTTGGCTCCACAGGAGCGACATCTGACCTTGGTTGTCTGTTTAGCTGTGGCAGTATCCTGCAGGATGGCAAACAGCAAAATCTGATCTAAAAACAAGTTAAACATTCTTAAAATAAGCGTCTTTGCCCTTAATTTGAGCAGCTATATAAGGTCTGCTAATGAAATTAGTATTTTAGATATTATGCACTTAGAGTAAAAAAATCTTATTTGGTAAATTGTCTGACGGAAAATAAACTTAACAAAAGATTAAAAAAAACTGACCGCATTATATTTCATTCTTTCCTGTGCATTACCTGGGTTGCTGCTGCCAATAACCTCATGTTCTGCTCTCAAGGTGACACATTTGTCCCTGCGCTTCAGATTTTAACCACTTCTCTCTCCTAGCTAACTATATTGTTCTTCAGATCTGAATACTGGCTAAAACCTCCTCTATTAAGCACCAGATCGCACCTTTACATAGAGAAAGCATGGAAATCACTCACTTTACTCTCCTTGCTTGCATTTGGAGCTAATGGACCATTAGATTTAAAGGTTCCAGACATGGATTTAAATGCTGAAAAATCTCTCGATACAGACCAATAATTGGCATCATCCACTTGCCTTAATTGTGACGCAGGAAAATGTGCTTCAAAAGGCAGAAGTTATACTGTTATACGTCATTAGAAGTCTGTTTCTCTCACTTAATGAAAGAAAAGGAGAGACTTCCTTTTACCTGCACTATACACACTACTTTCCCTCCTCTAAGCAGAAAGCTGTACCCACACAGACAGGATAATATATCCAAGTCATGGCTGGGGACACTGAGCGACAGAGTGCTGACAGCTGAGAGCAATGGCCGAGTCAACAGGCTCCCTGGAGAGCTTGGCGACAGCTTCCAGCCAAGAAACACAGATAAAAAAACGTTTTAGTCTCTATGGAAATCCAGACTAAAAACAAACTCTCAGTGAACAGAAACCCACTCTCTCTTGGTAATCACTGTGGGATACAGATTCACCGTTTTGAATAAAAAGCATATCAACATATAAGAGCTAACATTATTACCCAGAGTGTCTTTGATGTTCTTCACCAGCGAGCCTTTCTTCAGGCTGTTCTTGCGCTCCACGTAGTTCGATGGCACATAGCCCGTTTGGTTGGCGGCGTTGCGGACGCGCCACCACGTCTTTGAGTCGTCCAAGAGGAAGAGGCGCTCATTTTTACGGATGTCAAGTTCCTGGTCCTGCTGGGCCGTGTAGTCCCACTTGGCTACAACAATCCCCTCCTCCGTCATCTTTCATGGAGTCCTCCTAGGAAGAAGAAGAAGAAGGAAGGACGTGAGTGAGTCACAAATCAACCACAAATATCAGAACCTAACAGTCAGAGAACCAGAGTGACAGGAGAAAAAAAAAAGCTGTTAAAGTTTATTAGACTGAGCTAATATTGGTGTCTCTTCTAAAAGATTTACCACTTTGACCTGCATATTTGAACGGTAGGCCTGAATGGAAAAACTAAACATTGGGTTAAAGAGCACTTTGGCTTTATCAAGCACGGCAGAAAGTTTCCTACATTCTTTCACACCCGAACCAAAAACATCAAATTATAAAAGCTAAATCATCACAAAGTAGTGCATGCAAACTGAAAGAAAACAATGAATCGTTTTTAAATCATTTTGAGAAATCAAATCGAGTTCAATCGACTTTATTTATAAAGCACGATTTCAATAAACACAAGGTTTCCAAAGTGCTGCACAAAAAATAAAATAACTAAAATAAGTAAAAGTAAATAAAATAAAAGCACTGCCAACACGGATAAAAATATGCGTGTGTATACATAAAATCTAAATTAAAACTTCACTTTTACAAAAATTTAAACCCAGTGCAGCCAGCATTGGTCCAACAGTTTGCAATTTAATGCAGGGTGGTGGCAGCATCATGCTGTGGGGATGCCTTTCCTCTGCAGGAACACCAAATACATTATTTCTGTAAGAGAACCTGCACACAGGTGGACTCTGTTTACTGTTAGGCCTAATTATTAAGGCAGGGGACTGGATTAGATTTTATTCAGGGTATCAATACGTACTTTTCGTGGAAACTTAATTCTACTTCATATCTCTGCATGGCGCTGTTTCACCTAAAACCATTGCATAATAAAAGCTAACTAAACATGAATAGATTAGAGGGGTATGAATACTTTTGCACTTTGAGCTGTTTTTGTGGGGCTCAGCCCTGCTGTTTGGAGTAAGAAGTCATTAAAAAATGATCCACATTCATCCCTGAGTAAAATAGCTTAAGTGCTTATCCCTGCTCACATAGGGTATTAGTTCGGATAAATCTAGGAATGGTTTCCCGTCCATTACATAACCAGGATAAACGTTAATGGTGATATTTTAAGCATGAACTGACATTAAATCTTTAATTCCTCAAATGGTAATTGTGGCAGCATATATGTCACGTAGTCAAGGCGCCAGGTACCAGCATTAGCTGAGAGCATGAAGCTTGGATGACAGAAACTAGAGCTCTCTTGGCATCCCAGCATTTCAGGGTTATTTTGGCAAAGAGCAGGACAGACACATGAAAATCAATTTATGTGCTCTTGCTTGTGCACAAACACACAAACAAACCTTGCCTTTCGGGGTTGTTTATTTATTTATTCTAGACAAGCAGCGGGCGATTATATGCTCTATTTCACCGGGCTTTGAGTAAGGTCATTGACGTGGGTCAACCAGACCACCTTCGGACCACAGTTCCTAAAGGCCGACTCTATGCATGTAGGCATGAGGTATGTTTGACGTAGACCTGTAGGCTTTGAGAAAAACCTCAGTGATAAAGGCAACCTCATTCTATGAAAGAATCTAACCAGTCCAGTTTATATTTAGCTCAGGCTGGGAGTCTGCAAACAAGCATTACAACAAAAAAGGAAAGGTTCACCGCTTGAAAGAAATTAATGAATGAAGAACACTTGGTACAACAAAGCCCTATTTTGTTAATCTTTAACCTTTAAAGATAAGATTTAAAGTTAGTGTTCTTTCCGAGTAATAAATCAAACCCCAATACTTAATCCCAAGCAAGATTGTGATTAGCTATTGAGACATTAGATGCAACCAACCCTTGGACTAAAATAGTCTTCCGCATTAAAAGGGAAATAATAGATATGTATCGAGTTTTTTTTCCCCATCATGCTGAAATGTTCAGTCATTAACTGAATCAAACAGAAACCCCCGCCGAGTTTAAAATGGAAAACAACATTGATTTGAGTGTATGAAGAAGCATGAGAGTGAGATTAACCATGAATATTCAATGCATGTGAACAACAGATAGTAAAAAAAAAAAAAAAAAAAAGGCCCATTAGGTTGTATTAAAGATGTGAGGAAAGCATTCTGTGTAATATTTACATGCATTTTAAGAGAGGCTAAACTGAGGAAACAGAACCTGTGATAAGCATCTCTTAAATTAGGCGTTATAAAAAGATTCCATTAGTGGTGGAAAGATTTATATCTTCTGTGTAGATTACTTATTAATGCATAGTGATAGGGGCAGCGGAAAATAGCTCTCCTTTTGCACAACCAGATAGATTTATCTAAGTTTCAATTAGGCTACAACTGCAGAGCAAAAGATGAGTGTAAACCTTCCTACTGCTATGGTCTCAACCAGCAGTTTGTGTCACTGCAGGGGAATGTCTAATAGCTGCTCCACAGCAGCTCAAGCACAACAGTTTGCACAGAAAATGTGCCTCTGCTTGCCGTCACTAAAGCTGTCAAACTGGCTCTTGCCTCCCAAGCTGAGGGAGAGGGATAGCAGAGGGAGGGAGAGTTGTGTAAAAGTGAAAAGTTTGTGCAAAAATGACTGAAAGTTAAACAGCTCGACTTTCTAGGACTTGTGATTTTTTTTTTCCTTTTTTTTTTTTAAACACAGTGGAGCAACAAAGATATTTTGACAGTTAAGGATGGGACAAAGACAACAGCTGGGCTCCTTTAGAGCAGGAAGGGAAATGAATCAGAACAACAGATTTATGACTAAAGAGGGATGGGGGCGTCAGCTCTTCCAGGAGAAAGGAGGTGTGCTTTGGCCTCTGTGCGTCTGGCAGCAGTAGCTGGATTAGACTGGATTACTACTCTCATTGAATTTTACAACGTTTATAAAATCAGACAACTACTTCATTGTTGCAGTTTCTAGCAAAAAATATTTACATTTGGTCTTGCTGCAATCTTCTGTCACAGGCATAGCACAGATATTTCTTGTCTGCTTTTTGCAAAATAGCTCAAACTCAATGAGATAGAATGTGGAGAAGCTTTGCCTGGGCTTTAACTAGGCCAGTCTAAGAGATTCAACCTAAATAACTGCAGAGTAGCTCTGACTGTACGGTTTGAAATGCTGCTCTTATGGAAGTACTTCTGCACAACATGTGAAACATTAGGAGAATATTAGGTTGACCGTATGACTGACTAAATAAAAAAAAACAATACATGGTCATTTCTACAGCATCGGCTCACTTTGATTTAGGACAAACGTCTTCTTTAGACACAAAAGTGTCCTCTTCTTTTTTTTCTTTTTCATTTTTTGTTTGCTTTTTGTTCTTTTGCTATGACAAAAGCACTTTTGTAGAAGTTTACCATAAGAGGACCCTGTGACTGGAGGTGCGATACATGCATGTAAATCGTTAATAGTGGTACCTGGGGCAAAAATTCTTTTCAGGCTGAAAAACTGTGAAATAAACACTATCATAACAAAGAATCTGTGTATATTGCTTTATTTAAAGATGAATACATACATATATATATATACATATATATATATATATATATATATATATATATATATTTTTTTTTTTTTTTTAATGAAATAACATGCCGGGGGTCACGCTACTAAAGAGGAACAATTCAGTCATTCATCTTTTCTGCTCAGCCCATTTCTTCTTTTTGTCTCTTTGCTAATACTTTTTCTTTTGTTCTTATTCCCCACATTGGGAGGAGCCGTTTCCATTTCCCTTAATATGCAAACTATCAGATTAACCCAGTAAGTGAGGCTCTGATCCACCTGACGTGGAGGGATTGGTTTGGAAGTCTGAGGGGTGCAGGGGTGGTCCACGCTTTCATAGCTTTGACTCCAAGTCCTCTAACAGTTTTCTCACTATATAGGTAAATCAGGACCTTAAAAAAAATAAATGAATAAAAAAAATCAGAATTTTCTGCAGTTATGATTATTAAAATTAAGAGGATCAACCTATATTTTTATTTTGACAAATTTTGACTTGTTACACTGAGAGATCCATGCATTAATGTCATATTGCTGAAAAATTAAGCAATAATTTAATAATTTCCATTTAAGCAAATTGTTTTAGTGAAAAAGTTGCCCATCTGGAGCCTAAAACATTCCTCTCTCAATGAACAACAAGAATCACAAAAAGAATTGCTGGAATAAATGCGTAAAATACTGAGGTCCAAGCTCCCTGTAGCAATACTGATGTGCTGAACAGCAGTAACTCAACGACGAATTAGAAATATGTTGTGCAGTCCGAGCTGGAATATTAACCTGCATCCAAGTTTTAAGTTTTGCAACCTAACAAAGGCTTGAGTTGAGTAGCTTCACCACAGCATGATGCAACCACCATGTTTCCCCAGCGAAGGGGACGTTCAGGATGATGCAAAATGTTGGTTTACTTCCATATTGTCATTTAAATGTAATTTCCAAAGTTTCATTTTGATTCATCTGATCAAAGCACCTGTTTTTACAATGTTGTGTTATTTGGGTTCACTGGAGTGAAGGCCTAAATATAAAAGCACAAGAGTTAGTTCTTCCTGAGTATCCAGATACTCTGTTTTTTTTCCCACAGGCGAAAAACCCCCAAAAACTATTATGTTGTTTGGTGACTCCAAAGATGCAAATGTGTTTGCATGGTTATGCATTTCTGTGCTGCCCTGCGATGGACTGACGACTTGTCCAGGATGTACCAAGTCTTTTGCTAACAGACTATAAGAGACAGGTCATCCTGATGGACAAGTGTTGAAAGATGGAGGTTTTTTTCATAATTTTTGGCTAATCCTTCAAATGACCCTACAAATCAAGGCGTTCTAAAACTCTTCGCTTCTTAACTTCAAGTAAAGACCAGTGGAAAACATACACAACAATGTACAAAAGATCTTTATTTGCTTTAATCTTCCCAATTTTTATAGCTACACAACTTATTTTTTGATAGAGGCAGTAAAGAAAAATGCCTCTCATTGAGCACACACCCAACAAATTCAGATGAAGGAAAAGAGGAAGGCTTTACAGGTGCTGGTCATAAAATTAGAATATCATGAAAAAGTAGA